CTCGACGCGAAGTATTTACTTTTAGGCGCGTTAGTCTAATGATCATTGGCTGCGAAAATAGTCCTCGTTGAAAGCTTCGAAAGAATTTAACGCCTAATTAGCATTACAACTGAAAAGTTAGTGATGCATTATGCTAATGCAAGAGCTAAAATCGTTGACTGACCAAAGTTCGAGTTGTCAATTATTTTCAGTTTTGATATGAGTTGTTTTCTCATTAAGAAACAAAAAAATCTTGAAAAAAGTTTTGTGAAACCCATTATAGTACAAGTAAAATTGATTAAATTATCTCAAACTAATAACTTTTTTACTAGAAAATCTCTTAAATTGTAAATGGAACTTACAAGGAGTCCATACGAGGCCATATTCATGAAGGAGTCCCTAAAAAAATGTTCAGAGAAGAACTCGTGGTATCCTTGTTAGCAAAGAGCAGGGTAGTTTTTCGTAGTTGTAAGGGAAAAATAAAATAATGCTTTGAGAGTTTTTTCATATCATTTTCACAGCAAAGAGAATTTCCTCGAGAAACTCGAGTAAAGTCTTGTACATATAATTACGATATGCTCTACAACTCGTATGTTATGTGAGAGTTTTTTTTCTTTAAAACGTGCGTGAATTATAATTTTTTAATATTATCGAATAAAGCACCATAAAAACATTCCCCCCCATACTCCAACAAATTGAAAAAAATATCGTTGAGTGAATTAGTTGGCGCATATAATACGCGTTGGTATTGTATTTGCAAAATTGAGCTACGAGCGACTTTACGTAAAGAGCTAATAAAGACAGGAAACGTCTATCCGAGCTTCTCGCACGATACGTCGCCCGTACATATATAGGCGTATAAGTTTATATGTATGTGCATAAGACACTAAATCAACGACGCGGGTTCATGTTTGGAGGAGCCGCGGCGCGTCCATACATAATCGACTTGGGCATAATGAACGAGCGCCTGCGCGCAAATATGTCGTAACTTGCACACTTTTCGAGTCAATGTATGTATAATTTTCTTAGTGAAAATGATTGTTTTAATTATATTTATTAGAGTAAATTTTTTTTTCACTCGCATGCTGTTGGAATTATGCGATTATCATTATTACGAGATTGGCTCGCAAAAGTAGTGTGGCTCGTTACTTTTTATTAAAATTGAATTGTAGTACACGTAGCCGTGTTGTGATGGCGAACCATAAACACAGTGCGAGCGAATGTACACGATAATAATTGCATTCTGCTGCTGAGGGCTGCAGAGAATCAAAATCAATCAACTATAGAGCAGCGGCTATTCAAGAATCGCCAAGCGTGACACGAGCACGACTGCGATACGCTGAGTAGTAGTGCGTCAATTGGACGTGTGTATCGTTTTACGAGATCATCGAAATTCGGTGTTGCCTGGCGTCGCGACGCGTGATTTCGAGCTGTACGAATGTCAAGAAGTAACTTTTGATAATTCGAATTATTATGGGCGTATCGCAGTGGCTATTCGCGGTAACGTCATAAGAATTGCGGCATATAACATATCGCGTATCAGTTGCGTAAGCGCGCGGGCGCACCGCAGTCAAAGAGCCACTCTTGCGTGTAGCTCGTATTATTATATTATATGGTCGAGACGGATTAATGCGCGCCGGCGACTCTCTCTTTTCTCTATGTATTTCTCCCTCTTGATGTATAAATATTATTCCATATATACATAATTAAAAGCTTAATGGTGCTTGAGCATGGCACCCGCGCGCTGAAATCGCGAGTATATAGTGGCCCGGCCACACATACCACCGAACGTATTATACGTTTTATTCTCCCTGCGCGGTGCAACGTCATATCGGCCGCATTTTTTCGTATTCATATAAGCAGCAGCCTACCTGTATATATGCATATTGATGAACATGTGCCGATAAATCGGGAGCCCAAGTTAAAAGTTTTGCGTAAGCTGCACAAAGCGCGCGGCGCGGCGCCCCACGGCTGTTCTCGTATTAGCGTGAGACTCGCTTATGTGCGCGCTGCACCAGTACCTGCTATACAGTTGTGTATATTATACACGCATACACACACACGTAAAAACATTCACACTCAGACAATATAATATATAGACGTGCACACGTATGTATACACATGCACAACGACCGCGCATGTGTAAAGAGAAAGAAGAGAGCGAGAGTGAAGAACAATTCACAATCGTATTACCGAATTTACAAGGCGAGCGCAGCGCTCATTGTTGACTCGAATTTTTTTCTCCGATCAATGCCCTGTCTCTCTTTTTCTTTTTCTGTCTCTCTCCCTCTCTCGCTCACTCGTGTACAATATGATTCATAAATCGAACTTAACGAGTTATTCGCATTGTTTTCGATTATTTAGGTAACGAGTGCTACTGCCGACGCCTGTGCCTACCTGCCTCATGCACCGCGTCGACGCTTTCTGCCGCTCGTAATCGCCAACTTTCATCTCTTAATCTAATCTACTTAATTTACTTTTTAAACCGACTGAACAAGAGTACTGCAAGTGCATGGGAGGCGTTTCGCTGTACGAGTATTGCCAGACGAATCAAAGAAAAGTTTAAAGACAACGAGTCCTGGCGCTTTGGCGAAAAAATAATATAAAACTACAAATCACTTTTTAATAATGCTTTAGATCTCGTATCAATATCCCGAAGGCGGATCAGATTTATGTTTACATATATGCTCGTCCGGTTCATACATGCGTATAACAACGTATACGTCTACGGACGAGGGCAGGATTAACGTAAACGAAGTACGTAGCCTATACACGAGCGAGAAAATCGATATGTATACGTTTGAATAATAGAGCCAGGGCCTTAAACGCGAAATCCTTGGGATACCCGGCACAATATATAGCAAGTGGCTTTGCGTGTTTTATGCACAGGTCGTCGTTTTCTCACCGATATTTTCGGGATAGACCAGAACCACCACCCAGTCTCTTCGTAGTGGAATACAATTTTTTTTTTTCAGCGTTCATCAATTTCATTACTCGACCACTCTAGAAACGTTCGGTCGATTGAATAACATAATAAAATGTGCTACAGTTATCAAACGATCGGTTCCGTAAACGAATTGAATACTGGAATGTCCTGATAATTGCAAAGTTAACCAAGGCATTCTAAATAGATCTCCGCTGCGTTCGTGCGAGAAATTCCATTCTTTTGTCTCGCGGCAATGCACCCTTGGACTACGGACACGCTCTGCACTCGATTGCCTATTATATATACCTTCGTCGCCGCTGCTGCTGCTGCTGCTGCCACTCGATCTATCGTTCGAGCTCGAGTTCGCTTATAATACAGTCGCAACGCACTATACTTTTCGTAATACGCTTATCCGGAACACGGAACTCGAGTCTCCGCTGCATGTATCTGTCGTAATATCGGACTTGAGTTGCTTTCGGTTGCCTTCGCAGGCTCTCTTGAGCCTGTGCATGCTGCTGCACTCGCACGTGACCCAAGCCACACGTGACTCGATTCTCGCGTTTTTCCCAAGAGCTATATTTTTATCCTCTATTATATCAGCGGCGCTACTGTCCGCTTGTATTTATTCGACGATAGAATTATTTTGCCAGGGTGTCGAACGCCTACAGAGAACCGATAGACACAACAAAACCTTAAGAACGACCTTGCATTACGGTGTTGACTGTATGGAACTTACAATACTATTTATTTTGTTTTGTATTTCATTTATTTATTTAATTTTTTTTTATTATTATTTTTTGATACCGATAAAAAAATTAACCTGAAAATGAAGCATTTTAAAAATTCTTTTGGTTAGTGAAGTAATTTATTTTTTAGAGTAAGCTGTTATAGTTGATTATTTTTATACCTTTTATTGACACAAAAGAACTGAATAGTTTTAGTTACACTTTGATCAATTCGGATTTAGGAAACAAATATAGTTCTTATTACATCTATATGGGTTTAAAAAAGTGGCATGCAAATCTAGAATTTATTAGAAAATTGAAAATAGCTTTTCCAAAATTGCTCAATTTGCCATTTATTAGATTTGTTGTTGATCTAATTTTCCCTGCGCTCGTGGACATATGGGAAAATATCCGCGCGTGTTTTCTGTCGGTAGCCTGTAAATACATTTTTAAAATCAAATTTCGCTTCATTCAGTTTTTTCGAATCAGTTTTTGATATATTTTTTAACGAAATGAGTCTTTTTGCACGACTCGTAAATAAAACGAGATGAACATTTTTGAATAGTGTCTGTTAAATTAAATTTTATAATTAATAACAATTTTTAGGTCTATTTTGATTGGTTATTCTATAGCGGCGGTATACTGTGTAGCACAGCTTATGTTCAGGCAATACTGCTGATTGGTTACAAATTTACATGCTAGACGTGAAATATAGCTCACATTGAACCGTACGCGTTGCTAAAAATTTTTCGATCAATATTCGTTAAATTACGTGTGCGCTACATATCATGGATATATTTTTCATATTCTGTATCGTTTTTCCACAAAACAAGTACTTCAAGTTGCTTTAGATTCAATATATTGAACTAAAATATTTTAATAACTAATAACAAAAAAATGACTGAAACTACCTGTTCATTAATTAAAACAAAATTCATTCATTTTTGAATTGGACTAGAACGTATTGCAAAAACTCTGGATTGCAGTAACACTTGACAAGGCTCTGAATTCAATATGCTTGGTTAAAACTAATTTTTTCAAACATTCTTTTGAATTATTGAGGTCAGTGCATCGTATACCAAGTCTAGGCATACTTGATTTTTGTCGTGTGGGTGTCACACTACTTATAACAACTAATTTTGTAAAACATTATTATTACAATACCCCTAGAGTTTAAAAAGACTTATTACGTTTATTTTAATCCCTGAAATTGAAAATGGTAAAGAAAATGTTTTTTTTGCTTGAGCTTGCGAAAAATTTTACGGCTCGATCTCTGACACGAGGATGTGCAAGTGATACTAATTAACTTAGAATGTAGGAAGCTGTTTGTAAGAACTTTTCTGACCATTTTTTTCTCGATGTATTTGCAGAAAACTTGGCTCCGTCGGAACTGAAGAAGTTGAGAAACAAACAACGAAAGCAGCGAAGGAAGGCTGAACTCGAAAAGCAGCAAGCGGCACAAGCCCAGGAAAAACGAGAACAGCACAATAAATCGCGGCAGCAGGCCGATCCTGACCTGGAGCAGCCCACCCTCGACGAGCTCATCCCAGAAAAATTGGAGCGGGTAATTTACGAAACTATTTTAATTTTTTTACACACAACACATGTTTTCGTGTTTCGTTGTATAACTCGAAAAAGTTAACATTTGACTAGTTTTCAAGCTAATGTCTATACGTTTGAACTTTTGCTTTGAAATTTCCAACTACTTGAAAATCCTTGAACTTGAATAATTTATCGGACTCTGTACTTCTATCCAATTATCCTACATAAAGCAGTTCCAATTCGTTTTCAGGTTGAGGACCCTCTAGAGCAGGCCATCAAATTCCTTCTTCCACTACAGGAGTTGGCCAGCGAGAAGATAGAAACACATCTCATGGCTTTTGAGATTTACATCCGTAAAGGTACGACAAATTTAAATATTCATCAATTACGAATATTGAACTTGACGAGTATTTATACGAAAAATTCAATATTCGTCTCAGAACAAACCATCGATTGTGTATGGATAGATCGGTATTCAAATGATATTTTTTTTCCTCATAGGCAAAACACTGTTGATGCTGCGCTCTATCAAACGCGCTCACAAGCTCGACCCGAACAACGCCAAGCTGCACAGCTGCCTGGTGCGTTTCTTGCGCCACGTCGAGACGCACGCCAATCTACCCCTGGACGGCGTCGTCGCCAAGGTGGTGCACCATCAGTCGACCGACATCTTCTTGGGCTGCAACGCCGCCAAGCTCAACGCCGACTTCCTCGAGCGGCACGGAAAGTCGCTGGCCCACAGGCTGGAGGCCGCGCGCATGCTCTACTTGCTGGATTCCAAAGCGCAGAAGCGCGCCCTCGAGCTGGTCACCGACCTCGACGCTCCGGGCTTGAAGGCGGTCAACCTCGCTAACTGCACGGCGGTCCTCGAGGCTCTCGAGGCCGGCGATTTCGGGTCCTGCGAACAGAACCTAGCCGACTTCAAGACCGAGTGCCACCGGCGCTTCCCCTACGCTACGGCCTTCCGGCCGCTCGAGGCTAAGCAAGCCGTCGCTCAGTCGCAGATTCTCTTCAACCATCAGGAGATCAAAGAGCCTCAGCAGCCTCAAGCCGAGAATTGATGAAGCCCGCGGAACCTCGTTCCCGTGCGTGGTCTCGTTGGCACCTCGCGTTCCAACTAGGCCACACGTCATAGCTCCATCCCTATCATACTTATTTCTCCTCAATTCTTTTCTTATCCCCTTGTAACTCGCCTTAATCAGCCCTCGTTAATTTCACCCTCGCTCTGTCGTATCACCTCTGGTCCGCATCTTGGCCGTGCTCTACGCGCGAATCTGTGATTTTTTTTTCATGCAAAGATACCTTGTTGTCTGGTAGAAGAAATTTTCATGTACGCGCTACAAAAACACAAGTACTTCGGAGCACGACACAAGTTTAATGTCCATTAACGTTTCATTCCGTATAAATACGATAGTAGTTTCTACTTGAAACAAATACATGCGTAAAGTGCTCGCAACTTAGTGAATCTTATTAGAATGACATCGCACTCTGATCGCTCGGATTGTCAGTAGCTTTTATGGACGGCGATGCTTGAACCATGTCATGATTGAAGGCGGGTGATTAAAACAGATGCTATAACAACTGTCACGCTTATCGAGTCGAACTTCTGGTCATCAGCATTCCAAACAGTACCTGCTGATGCGGCAATCCTAGATGGCTCGGAAGATTCGCAATAAACATGGGCTTTGAATTTTTAGGATGAATATTAAGAAATGACAGAAGAACAATGTGGTTTTGTGTACAGGGTGCGTTGTGTATAAATTTTTCAAAAATGAGTAGGAAATGTTGATTGTATTGGTGCAAATGAAACTCAAAGCTTAGAACAAGAATTCATTGTATACTGCTGGTATTGTACCAATCGAGTGCTTGATTACGTTCTAATTGTTTTATATTTTTTGCTTTTGTCTCTAACTTTTATATTTTTATTACATCTTTTTTTTAGCATGAAAATGTTTACCTGTTACTTTAAGTAGCAGGTATCTGTTGTGCTATAAAAGTTTTTGACAAATGAATTATGCTCATCAAATTAACTATTAGATCTATTCACTCATAATGTAAAATATTATGTTATAAATAAGAAATGTATGATTTGCTCATTCTGTACAATATCTACCTTACAATGAAATTAGATAAAAGATTCATCAAAATATATATCTTCTTGAGGGTCTTAAAAAACTACTAAGTAGAGCATCGAAAGAATGCAAACTTTTCCAACTGTGAGCGGGAATAACAATAATCAATTGAATCTTATTTGATTGCAAACTTGGTGTGAATAATCTTTTTACATAAGAATATATATACATAAAATATATATACTTAAGCAGATTAATAAAAAGTCTGATTCATAGATAGAATAAGATACCACTTATTCTTCTGTCTGACAAAAATCGTATTGTAAAACTTGATTTGTAATTTCTTGAGATCTAGTTTAAGTTGTTTGCATATAGAATATTTGCCAAACATGTTCTTCATGTTTGAGATTACAGAAATACAATCAACCATCTGTAAACCAAATAAGTGGAAATTTTAATAAAAACATAAGACTAGAGGAAATTTTTTTTATTTACAAGTATAATATCGTTGAGACTATATATAAAAAATTTAAATTATATATAAAAAAATATCAACAACTGTATTTATAAATACAAATAATAGTCATTATGCAAGAAATTTTGGTAATTCACTATGATGATAATCATACATGTCAATTTGATACATGTCCATTTGATGCATGTCCATTTCATGTTCGTCCGTTTGATACATGTCCATTTGATACATTTGATTTTAAAGGTGTTGAGGGTAGCTGTGACATTTCATTCCAGTTAATTTCTTCAAAATCAATAACTATCTTCTTGTGTTTTGGGAAATATTGACTGAAAATTTATCCTCAATTAATTATTTTATTTAATCTTAATGAAGAGTTAAAGGTCATTTTTTTGTAAAAATACCAGTAATTGACTCCAGCTGCATCAAACATCTTTTTTGCAGCTATAGTTGACACCTTATAAGCATGTTTGTCTGATAAATACATGACTTTTTTAATTCCAGATTGAATTATCACCTTTGCGCACTCGTTGCATGGAAACAATCCCACATAAATAGTGCAATTTTTAATACTTTCTGAGTTTTTATTGACAATAGCATTCAATTCAGCGTGACAAACTAGAAATAATAGAGTTTGATCAATTTGATACGCAATAATATACACAAGTAAACTATATTGTTACCATAAAGATGTTTTGAATCAGATCCATTATTTGTGTTTTTAGACCAAGAAAATTCTTCATCGCTGCAGCCTACAGGCATACCATTATATCCAACACCGACTATCTTTTTATCCTCATTTACAATGCAAGCTCCTACTTGAGTGACTGGATCTTTACTGCGCATAGCAGCAAGAAAAGCAACAGCCATAAAATAATCTTCCCAGTTTAGGTAATCAGATCTTTTTGTACTTGTATCCCTAAAAAAAAATACAAATTTCTCAATAATGCAATTCATTAATGGAAAAATGACATGAAATACTAGCTAACTACTTCGGCATTATAACCTATTTTATTATAAATGGATAGGGTCAATGTGAGGGATGAACTGGAAAACTCAGTGCTGGTTTACCTTGACTTTGGGCTAAGACAACCATTGCTTTTGCTAATTTTCAGTTGATCGAGACTTAATTCCTCCATAACTGATTATTCAAATAATATAAAGAGACTAATTGCACGTAAACTAAAAAGAATATCGCTGCTACAAAAGATAGCCGGGTAGATATTTCTAAAAATACTTTTTTAATCGCGTTCGGCAGTCCGAAAGCAGTAGCCACTCGTTTCCCGAACACGCGGGCACATCTGTTGACATGTTACATTCTATAATCGATTACCTCATAAATATAGACTATTTACATTAGAAGACTCTTTCGCGCCTATACGCGGCTGAAGCGCATGTCCTGACATCTGTGCGTTATAAAATCAACTGTAGCAGACGACACTTGGCAGCTGAAATAGCGGCTGTGTGCGCGGTTACCATCAAAAGCATTATCTGTGGGTTTCGTACAAGAAACTATGAACTTATTCGTTTATTTTATTATAATTCCCTTGTCTAAAATTGATTAAAGTATCAATCTAATCTTTAATATATATTAGAGTTAATAAAGTTACGAATTATCGATGAAAACGCCCTACAATGTTATTTAATTTTATATGAAATTCAAGGAAATTAACGATCACATACTAAGCCTCAATATGATAATCGGTAAATCGGTACAGTAGAACTCCGATTGATCAAATAATCGCACCTTCGCTCATTCATAAATCTTACTCATTACATTCAACAAACAGATCAATTATAGCTGATGACAAAGATGACTGTCAAGTTTTAATTGTAATAACAAAAGCTGTTTACTCGTTGATACATCGCTCCGTTATCGATTTCTTGCTATTTTTACGTAGTTCACGCATTCCACGCATGGAATCGCGAATTCGCAATTGCGAGCTTAACGGCGCGTGCGAAACCGTCCTCGTTCGAGATAGCAAATTTAAATGTATGCAGGAGAGCGAAATTCGATTAAAAATGACTGTGGACGGCGCGCTAAATGGAATTTAATAAGTTAGCCGAGCAATTAGCGTCAGACGCGCGTATATATTTTAGCGCTCACTATAAAAGCAGAGTTAGGTATACAGCAGTACTGGTACAATATTTGCATTGCAGATTTGTTCCTCGTACCAGTGCCTCGGCTCGAGCATTACAGAGCCGAAAAAAAGTTTTTCTTACGTAGGTACTATAAAGTTGGGCGCGCGAGACAGGCTCGAATCGACGTGGCAAGCAAATTACAGAAAGTACGACTCAGAGGTTGCTCCGGTCGCACGAGTCCGATTTATACGAATAACGTCGCGCGCGCGATTTTCCCGACCATTCGTCCACGGTGTAATTTTCCAAAACTATCTCAGCTTTAAGTAGGTATTTGAATAGTCTCGGCGGCCGCAGATTAACGTTTCGTTCAAGATAGCTCTGGACCTGTCGTCTTTTCCCGGGCACGAGCATTTCCAGGAATCTCTTCGCTCATGCTGGTCTCATTCTCGCTTAATAATAGCATTCGGTCTCTCGCTGCAATCCTTTGCACTGCACTGGTGCCTTCGAGGAAGACGCTGCTCGCGTAATGCGCCGTACTCGCGGTTTCGGCCGCGCCAATCCGAGAAACTTCATCTTAATGACAGTCTGAAATTTCATTAAATCGCGCACGAGCTATATCTACTGCTGGTGCACTCGTCGTGGCGCCGCAAATTAAATACAGCAGATCATCATCATCGTTGTCGTCGCGGGACTAATGCGAGCGATCGAAGCTCGTCGTCGCGGTGTGTATGTGTGTGTACAACTCGCGGTGCAGAACCGCAATACTTTGCGCACGAATATCCTCGTTGTTGCTGCTATTATCGTCAGTTTGGTACGCGAATATAATAATGGTTGGGAAACGAAGAAGGATTGCGGATCTTGGCCGAGTATAGCCATTAAAGACTTATTGAGTCGACGACGCGCAGTGTAATGTAGCACCTGCCGCCGCTGCACACGAGTCTAGCCATACCTGCTGCTGCCAGCCGCGTTTTTCTGCCAACGTAATCGGCAATAATACAGCTATACACGGCGCTGAAATCCTGGATATTATTAGCACGCGTTGAGAGTCGCCGATTCGAAGCGAATATTCATGAGCCGGATCATCGTCGCAGTTGGCGAGCGAGACTCGCGAGAGGCATCGATGTGATTCAAGAGCTCGTCCATAGCTTATTTTCTAAGCTCCTAGCTCTCTGATGGCTTTGCACCGTGGCAACGTAACGAGTTCGCGCGCGAGCCGCTTAAAATCCGCTAATTAAAGCGTTACAATTGCGCGCGAGTCCTTTTTGCCTGCCTGTGCATGGCCACCACAGCAGTCACAGTTAAGTCGAGTTGTATTATAGTTATACAGCTGTGCGCTTGTATTTTGAGAATTACGTAAGAAAAAAGAAGGAAATAATACGCGACGCGGTCCATGCACACTTAAACGGCCGCGTGCTCGTGTATTTATATCGCATATATAATGCAACGACTCGTTGCGGTTGCAATTGCTGCGCCGAGAAGAAAAGCGAGCCACCGTACAGGACTACATGTACGCGATATAATTCTCGTATACGGCTTTGAGCTCCTTGTGAGGGCTCTCCAAGCGCATTCAACGCCGAAACAAAGAGGCCCTCGCCAGCTCGCGACACAGCCACTTGCAAGCTGCGTCTTATGCTTATTCGAGGATATATGCGACTTCCAAAACTTCAAGAGGGATTTACGAGTTGTGTGGGAGCTCAAAATTTCATTCACTTTCAAAACTTTGTCTACTGCTCGTCGTAGCTGGCAAAAAGATGTGCTGCTGTACTGCGACGTCAAACGTATGCAGGGTATTATACCGATGTTGACGCAGGAAGAGAAAAACATTTTTTTCCATGTACCCGTTTCTCCATCATTTTTCATGCGATAAGATTTCTTGGCAAAAATTAGCTCGCAGCGCAGTCATGATTCCCATTAGTTTTGAAAGATATGCTAGCGAAGCTAAAAGCGAGTTTATGCATATTTGACGAGAATATGCCAACGTCGGTAGTCAGCTCGTATCAAAGAGAATCATCTCACACCGACGTAGAATAGAGCTTCGGCGCGTCGTTGCGATAAAAGGAAAGACCGAGAGGGGAAGACGGTAGACGCGCACAGCCATAACCGAAGCAGTCGATCTTCGAACTGAGGAAAGCAAGAGCCGCTCTGTGTTATGTACACGTGTACGTGTTTATAAGGTACATAACAATCATAACTTATACACATCGAGACGTAAAGCTCGGATGCGAGCAAAGGAACTTGAGCTATGTCGAGCCGAGGCACAAGTGGGTTTCATGTAAGAACACTGCAAAAGAGTGAGCTATCAGAAAAAGAAAGAAAGAGAGCCGATACGGGATGTCGAGGGGGTGGGTTTGGGAAAATATGTACGCACACACCCTTCGCCGGCAGCTTCGGGTTCTTGAACTTGACTTTACCCGAGCTTTGGCCCGCAGCGTGCGCGTGCTTCGGGAGTGTCGAAAAAAAAATATCTATATGTAACTGAAAAGGACTCGTGGGAGGAAAAGCCGTCGTCGGCGCGGCGCCGTAAGTATATACACTGCGTGTAGTGCAGGTTCTCCTCTCCGCGACTCGGCGCTGCCGCCAGGGAGTCTCTTCGGCGCGTTACGATGACGATAATGCGCGAGTATGTGTGTGTGTACGTACTATGCCTCGTGTGAGTTTGCTGCTGTTGGATGGTCCATCGGCTCCCTCATTCGGGAGAAATGCGAGGGAGCGAGATCCGCCGAAATTTTACTCCCGCGTGCGCGCACCTACACAGCTTACAGCCCTTACAGCGTCGACGCAAAGTCGCGCTTTACATGTACATCTGCACAGACGCATCTATATATAGGTAGTACGCAGTGCTCTCTCTGCTTGGTATTGATTAAAAGGCTACTCGGTATATATGCTCGACGGATCCACGTGTTTCCAAGTCCTGTGCGCGCTGCGTTTCCGCACACACATACGCGCGCGATCCTTTTTCTCCTCCCGCTTTCTCTCTTTATCAACGTTGGTCTGCAGATATCCCGCTGTTTTTGGATCGACTCCAGAAGCTTTTTCAAGCGTTTAACGAGTATAGCGTCGGAAAAATTGACTTTTTAAACAAAAATACGCCTCCGAGCGTCTAGGTGAAGTCTCTCTCTCTTTCGCTCTCTATCTCGGCTTTATAAGTGCCGCGCACACGCAAAAACGCGACGTTCCCTCTCACGGGAATTTCGGGCCGAAGCTGCGCTGCTGCGAGAGCCTCCCTCGGCGCTCCGTCGCGCGCTCGATGCAACAAGCCGGCACCTCGCGATTCTGCACCATCGACTTTCGTCTTGCACCCACACGTGTCTTTCGCCTCGTTCAACTGAATCTTGACTGCTGAACTCGTCGGTCTCGGGTCGAATAAATTTGTCAATTGCGCTGGCAAAAGAGATCCGTGGTCTTTATTCGTTTTACGCGGTGAGCTTTTGCCCCGAGGCACGGCTATACCCTTTACAATGCTCCTGCGGCTACGCCGCTACTTCGTGATCTTGAATAAGATATAACGCGAGGTGAGCAGCAATCAATCTGTCGAGTTACCGACATGCGGAATTTCATGAGTTTCAGCTCGAATACATTCAGGTTGACGTTGATTTTATTATACATTATTCAATGTTTTTTAGATTCTTTCATACGATTAATTTTTCAACATTCCTTGCAATTTTTTTCGCTATGGGTTCACTTTAAACTTCTATTTAAAAACAGCTCTTATTGATTTTTTTATTTAGTTATAATATTTTTATGATTTCTGATTGTACACTGTCCTAAGTTGTGAAGTTGGTTACCGGGTAACGGGGAAATTTTAAAATTCATCATTTCACATTTACCTTTTAAACTTTCATAAATATTTAATTTTTTAGCTTATTTTGTACTTTTCATTTTATTGTGCCAAAAGTAATACTGGAAACAAGAAAACTTCAGAGCACGTGTTATTTATAATCAACTAAGGCAAATCCACGATCTTTCGGTTTCCCTAGGTTTTGGCCAGTGTTGCAAGTAGTTAATTAATTATTCAATTGAACTTTATAGTTAACTGATAACTAATAATTCAGTTAATAGTTACTCAATTATTAACTTATAAATCTGTGGTGGAAAGGGCTAACGAGATAACTCCATTTTTTTCAAAATCGAGTTTATGACATGAATTACCTATATGTTATGTCTACTTTAAGGTACAAGTGTCAGAAAAGCTGAAAAGAACACCTATCGTTAAATATAACACCGTGCCTAACGAGATAAGTCCATTTCGCTACAAACGATACCCGGACAAACGAGATAAGTCCACCTTTGCGAGCTCCAAAATGTGATAAAGAGTCTAGATTGATTTGAAAATGGAATAAAATGATATTCCAACATACAAATGGCTCTCACACTCTTCGAATGTTGTGAATTTCACAGTACGGTTGGTAAATTTTATACGCAAGGGGTCATTTTCACGATTTTCAGTTTGGCCTTTTTCCGTTGCAAGATTTGAGATCTGACACCAGTATAACGTTAAGTGAGCTATTTTATCAATGTAAAATCATTAAATGAGGTTTTGATCACAAACTAAGCGAAATTATCGATATTGAAAAAAGTGTGACCGCCAAAAGTGGACTTATCTGCTAAGTGGGGAAAGGACTAACGAGATAAGTCCATATTTTTTGCTCCGTATCATCACTATGATGCGTCTTTCATTTTCACAAGTACATATTTCAAAAGATATCTCATAATAGGTAAAAATATCATAGGTACAGATCATTAGTCGTCCGCGTCTAGCTAGGCCCTTGTGCGTGTTTTTCTCGAAAACACGAAAAATGGAGTTATCTCGTTAGGCCTTTCCACCACAGAAATGATTGAATTAGTTACTATTTACCACATAAATAACAGGTAATTTGTTGATTCACTAATAAGTTACTATCGATAAATNCCGTAGTAACCCAAGTAACCCAAGTAACCCTAGTAACCCAACTAACCCAACTAATCGAGGGAAGCATTTTTGCGAGTAACCCAAAGAAACCCAAGTAACCCAACTAATCGAGGGAAGCATTTTTGCGAGTAACCCAAGTAACCCAAGTAACCCCAAGTAACCCAAGTAACCCAAGTAACTCAAGTAACCTAAGTAACCCAAGTAACCCAAGTAACTCAAGTAACCCAAGTAACCCAACTAATCGAGGAAAGCATTTTTGCGAGTAACCCAAGTAACCCAAGTTACCTAATTAATCAAGGGTAGCCTTTTTTGCGAGAAAACCTAAGTAACCCAAGTAACCCTAGTAACCCTACTGATCGAAGGAAGCCTTTTTTGGGAGTAACCCAAGTAACCCAAGTAACCCTAGTAACCCTACTGATCGAAGGAAGCCTTTTTTGCGAGTAACCTAAGTAATTCAAGTAACCCAAGTAACCCTAGTAACCCTACTGATCGAAGGAAGCCTTTTTTGCGAGTAACCCAAGTCACCCAAGTAACCCTACTGGTCGTAGAGCCATGTTCATATTTCGGAATGATGAATATTTGGAATTATCAATATCTGGAATGTTTGAAAATCGGAATATTGTTAAACAGAACATGAAAAATTTGTAAAAACAATTTTGGAATATAAAAATTTCGGAATGAAAAAATTTTGGAAAAATTAAAATAGGGAATACACAAAATTTTTTAGTGGAAAATGTAGACTATGCAATCTTATTTTTTTGCTTTGCAACATTCACATTTTATAAATCATCGGTAATTTCATTGTTTTGAATTACATTCTAACTATCAACCATCAATAAGTATTCAACATTTTTAATTTTAGGAGGATTTACACGAAAAAGTTAGACGAAAAAATATTGATAGATGTCGAGTGCAAAGATCATAAGATTGAACTGAAGTCTTTGTCGCCAACCATCTGCAAAACTGAGTATCAAAGATATCCACTCACTGTGAAAATACAAAACCAAATTCAGAACGAATATTTGAACAATAAACAACTTATAATTTTGATAAAAAAAATTTCGATTACGATAATAAACGTCGATTTCAAGATCAGTCCCTGTTAAAGCTCGATAAATTCCAGAAGATGAAAATATTAAAAAAAACATCTTTAACGAAATTTTCTTATGAGTGCAAAATGTGTAGAAAATCATATAAAGCAAAAGCAAGTTTAAATACGCATATCAAGTAGACACACAAGGGCATCAGACCATATGAATGCGCAATTTGTTATAAATCATTTAGGCTAGAATGTTATCTCAAATCTCACATAAGTACAGTGCATACTTTTAACCAATCCTTTGAATGTGACTTTTGTCACAAATCCTTTAGATGCAAGCATACCCTCACAATACATATGAATACAGTACATACTCATATCAAACCCTTTGAATGTGACATTTGTCACAAATCATTTAGCCTCAAAGGTCATCTTAAAGTTCACATCAATATAGTACATAATCATAGCAAATTCTTTGCGTGTGACATTTGCAATAATTAATCATTTGTAATAAAAAATTACCTTGTAAGGCACATGAATGCAGTTCATTATCATATTAAACCATTAGAGTGTGACATTTGTCACAAATCATTTACACGCAAGGATACCTTCAAAACACATATGAATACAGTACATACTCATATCAAACCCTTCGAATGTGAAATTTGCTACAAATCATTTGGACGTAAAAGTACTCTCAATACTCATATAAGATTAGTACATGATCAGAGCAAACCTTTTGAATGTGACGTTGGTCATAAATCATTTAGCTACAAGTATAAACTTAAAACCCACATAAATACAGTACATGATCGCATCAAAATTTTCGAATGTAAGATTTGTCACAAATTATTTCATACAAAAATTACCTCCTTAATTCGTTTTTCTGTTTCTAGCTGTTGAATTGATTTTCCAACATTATCTGTGTAAGCTTGCATCAAATAACTGCTCTCTACTAATATACCAGTAGACATTTTTTGCCTCGAACCAAAAATACGAATATTTAATCGGACCACACGAGACATAAAAATTAACAAAAGTCGATTTTGCATTCGTCACAGAGCATTCTCTGTGAAAAAGCAAAAATTCCATGGAGATACATTTCAACAATATGAACAAGCTTGAATTTTTGCAGATTTTTTGGACCCTCACAGCTTTCCGCAAATGGACTACGATCTTTTCACAAATGGAACCAACATCAATAGCAATTTCAATGCGATAGGCTTATACAAATAACGATGAAGAGCGGAGAGGAAGTTTTGGCTCGTATCTCGCAGGATATCAAATGGTAAGAATAAGCGGTCGAATCCTTTCCCGCATGCGTTAGAATATATCCGGGCAAGTGGTCGCCGTAAATACGTACAGGCAGGTCCAGTAACGAAGTAAAAAATAGCGTCTGGATCAACGCCAGCGCTCGAGCAAAGGCTGCATTTTGCTTTCTTTATACATATTAAGCGATGTGCGTGCGGAGTAGCGAAAACCGCTCGAGGGCCTTTTTGAGGACCAACGAGAGAGCAGCTGTTGTTGTGCCGGGGCCGGGGGCTCGAGGGCTGGTAATTGGCCAGATTGTTTCGTGCACTGCGGGCAACTTGAACGCAGCGGACGCGTCCCTTTACAGAAGCTCGCAGCTATATAGAGTTCCGTGAGTCAGTCGTCCCCAGACTGCAGAAAATAAATCGCGATGCGATCTTCGGTATTATCGCGAGGCTGACGGCTGCGGCGTCTCGATGCGCACGTGGTGTCTGACTCGCTCGAGAGCTCGCTGCAGACAGTACATTGCAGCTACATTATTTCCTGATACGTAAGTAGTGGTATATGGACAGCAGGCATGTGCGGAGGGATCGCCTCGCTGCAACGGACCAGAGGGCCGCAGAGCAGGACGAAGGCGAGCAACGCACTGTGGGCTAGGCTAATGCTAAACGCGCGGCTGCTGCTGCTGCTGCTGCTGCTACCTACTCTCCCCCAGTGGCGCGCGTCGTTTCCCCTTTTCTCTCTCCTATATCTCGGGCTCGCTCCGCTACCGCGTTTACCACCACCACCGGCGCCGTTCCCAACTTTGAACGACGCGCCGCTGCTGCTACACGCTCCGAATGCTGCCGCTGGCACACACGAGGAGTTTCGGGCAGTAGCGATAGCGCAAGCCCCGGGGACGCTTCTATGCAACGCGCGCTCCGATTCTCTTTCTCTGCGCACACTTCGTCTGTGTATCGTCGTTATCCGTGTGTGTGAATACGCTTTTCCGAGCGTCGTCCTTTCGACGTGAACCGTCGAAAATATTCGGACAGCGTCGTGCCAGACATTACGTACGTTGAGGAGGAAGGAAAAAATAGCAGCAGCAGCGTCGTCGGCTCAGTGCGGGCTTCGGAGCCGGCTCGAGGATATTCGCACACGCGCAACTGCTGCAAAGGCTTGAATTTCGGATCTCGTCTCCCGTGCGCGTGCACACACGATACGCCTATATAGGTATACTACAGAGGCAAGCACGGGCCAGCTGCTCCTTTGCCGCGAACCGGCGAACTGCAAGTGTATGTGTATATTATAGATATTGCCGCAGCGCCCGAATGATAGGTGAGTCTCGCTTTTCATCGGCTCGACTTTGTTCTTTTCCTTTTCTTCTCTTTCTCGCCGAAAATATATTCATCGGCCGAGAGTAGATTAAGCGAGGTAAACAATTGCGAAAACAGGAGCATTGTACTCTATATATAACGCGTGCGAGTGGCGACACTGCGTGTGCTCTATGGAGCGTCGTCGATGTGTGTAAGGTAGGCTCTGTCCGAGTCGCGCGTAAACACATCGAGACAAAAGTGGTCTGCTAGTGTCCAGTAACGAAGTGCGGCGCACTCCCGAGCTCTTTTCTGTCTGACCCTTTTGTCCCTTGTGCCGCAGGCTGTAGCTTATACTGCATTGTACATAATGCGTATGTGGGCGCAGGCGGTGTTTCTTTTTTCTTTTTTTTTATTTGAGCGAAATGCTCGCGGCGACGATCTTTTACACGGCTCTCACATAGGCCCTCGTTCGAAAAGCATATAGGCGCCTCGTAAAATTAAGAATTATTACGCCCAACTGAGATATTGATAGTTCCGAAAACTCAATTTTAATGCTGCACAAACATTTACACGAGCATTCTAATAATTTGAATATAATTTGTGGTTTTTTGACCGCTGCTCAAACTGCTTTCTCAGTATCGATTCTCGTATAGATATGATAAAGGCTCGCGTATTTCAATGCATCTCTGAGCAATTAGAATTAATCCTACTTACATCTACTCGATTGTATAGGATCATTTTCTCTTCTTTGATTCGGTTTACTTATCGTGAACTTGTCGCTCCCTTTTTTTTATTAATTCGATTCGATTCGTAGCCTAGTAGCGTGATGATCTCTTGCCTCGGCTAATAATCGCTTGCATCGGTCACGTAAACGCTGTATACTCTCGGATAATACACAAGTCGATGATTCAGCTTCGTGCGCGACGGCGATGATGATGACGATATATACGGTAGCGTATTCCTTTGATGTTTATACAGACGGATAATTGGAGCAGTGCCGATGACAGACTCTCTCTCTCTCTCTCTCTCTCTCTCTCTCTTGTTTGACAACAACCGGGCCGCTTGTCAAAAGGCTCGTCGTAACTGCAGAGAAGCTCGATGGTAATATTCAGCAGTTTGATACGTAAATTTACGTTTGTCTACCTCCGCTTCTACGTAGCAGTCAATCGACTCTTTTGTTACTTATTTTTTGTCAACTACATAATTATATATCGTACACGTTATTAGACTCGGGCGATCGCGTTCGCAGCTATAAATATTTACATTCGATTCTGTATATTATAGTTGGCCAACGCTGCAAAACGATGACACCTGTTTTCTTCGTCGTGTACACGTGTTTCGCGGAACTTGTCGGTGTCGAACGGGTTCTCTCGTGTGTGCGTGCGCGTGTTATATATCTGTGTTTGCTTGAATGAACTGCAGGAAGCAGGCCTATACTACCACGCGCGCAGAGAACTAGCAATCTTGCACTTTCCATCGTATATAACAACTTGTAAGAGAGACCGATTCGGCTGATCATGCTCGTTTCAATTGCTCGCCTTTATGCTGCTGCTGCTGTACTCGGCACGGGTGGCCGCGCCGCCATCCGTCGAGTCCTTATTATGATAAATAAAGGAAGTTATTCATTTTGCCGAGAGTGGCAAATTGTGAAACATTAGCCGCGCAAATAGCCATCGAAATTGTTCCAAGTGGATGTTGATTATTTATTATCGCTGCGTGAATTTCTAAAAAATAAAAATTGATTTTTAAGTGTCGAATCAATCTTTTGCGATAAAGCGGTAAATTACATAGAGATTTTTTATTTTTTTATTTTTTTATTTTTGAAAATTATATATTGGAATATAATTTAACAACTGATTTATCAATTTACTTGTTATGATCTATGATAAATTTAAATATTTTTATTATCGTCAAACCGCAAAACGATTAGATATAACGAGTGACTAAGCCGATTTAATACAACGAAAAAAATGTCATCTACAATGCACGTGCTAGCAGATTCGATTCCAATCAATATCTTTTTTTTTTAATTATCGTCATCGCAAATCTTCTCGATCTCGAACCCCCTAGCGTATGGAAATATACGTATTTGCCGAGTGTGTAACACAAGTTACTAATTAAAAGAAACTGCGGTTCGCGTTGGCGTACACTCGCACGTTATATATCTCGCGTATGCTGGGGTACACAGCTCTGGGTAAGGAGAACAGAGGGTGAATCGACTTTCCCCCTTTGGCAAAGAACACAGCAGCTCACTCTGCGTTTTATATGTGTGTATGCGTGTGTGTGTGTGTGTGTAACAGAAAGAAACAGAGCGCGAGAAGGAAGAGCAACGTCGCGCAGAGCTTTATATATATATGTGTACGGCGTAAGGGTTTCGAGCGATGCTGCAAGACAAAAGGGAAAACTACGTCGACAAGAACGTCGAAGCTACGCTGCAGAAGCGCCACTCCCAATACTCGAACTTCAGAAACGTATATTTGCAGTTTCTCTTGTATTTGAACAATCATCGTTAGTAAGGATTCGTAATTATCACAACGAACGACAGAAATCAAAGAAATTCATGTTGACAATGTTTTTTTAACGAACGTTTATCGGTAAAAATGAAAAAATCGAGTAATTTTCCAATACGAGCAATCGGTGCTCGTTTAATAACAATTATTAAATTATCGATACTTGTTAATTGTACACTCGACGCGTGTATGCGTATAAGTATCAATCGAGCGATTCCCTCATTACCCGCAAGCTCTACAGTTAAACATCCGGTTTTTTATGACTCAAGCGAGAATGGTTGAAAAAACAAAAAAAAATACTCAAAATTTGCGGAATTGCCGCACAGTAATTCGTTTGTTTCGAAAGTCTCCGCAGTGTTATTAACACAACAAATCATCTGATTTTGGACGAATATATTACGAGAACTGCGGTCGGATGCGTCTCTTTTTTTCTGTTTCTCTTTCTCTGCTGCTACGTTTGCATTCGACTCCTTTCTATGTGTGTGCAAGGCAGCCCATGGATGTGCGAGGGAATAGCGCGCTTTCACTCGGCTGCGCGCGCGCGAGTGTGCATGTGCATGGCTCCGCACGCATACTAATTGTCTTCAAATAATATACATTATACACCCTTTGCTGCTCTGCGTCGTGCTCTCTATCTCCCTCTCTTTGTGCGCACATACTGCAAAATTATGATACATTATAAACTAGAACTACTACAACTGCTATCTACTACTATTACCACCGATGCTGCTGCTCTCTCCGAACGTGAGACTCGCGAGTCGGCAACGAGGTCGTCGTTCATTAAGATCTCAGTCGCTCTCGATGATGTTGACAATGATGACGACGATAAGATGTGTCAACAGCCATGTAATTTCGCTCGTCAATACAAAGCTCGTAACAGCGTAGCTGTATCGAGCGCGCGACTTGCAAAAGTATTTCATCTATGTAAGCTTTTCGCATCCTGATGATTAATTGCAGTCGTTTCTTGCGAACGAGGTATTAACGATCCAATCTTTTTTCTTGCGAGCATTTCGTCTGTTTACCCAGCAGAATATTTTCTTGCTCCGTTTCTCTTGTTCATATATATTTTCAGCGCACACAAAAAAATTCGCTTATATCTCCCAATTCAATCGTAACATTCATCACAAATTTCATTACCATAGAGGTATTTAGCTCTCGAGCTATTTTCTACCAAGATCGGAAAAATAATAGAAATCTATGGGTTGAGCTGCGAGGCGAGCTTTGCGCGCAGGAAATCACAGCTCCGCTCCGAGCTTAATATTATTTGCGATATATTACACGCTGCTCTATCCCGCATTATAATATATCGACGCGCGCGCACACGTGTGTCGGTTTCATTTAATTAAATTACGACGATGGCGTTAAATTCGAAGAAAAGTCTGACCTGATTAGGCTCTCGGTCGGCAAATGGTACGTACTGTACGCAGCCGGCCTAACGCGATTAACGCGCGCTCCGTTTATACCGTGTTGTCGACCCGTGTTTAGCTCGAGAGCCACCTCCGCAGCGCAGCGACTCGACGACTTCCAGCGGTGCAGCGCGCGAGAGAGCTAAAAGCTATAACTTGTATACCTCGTAGATAGTATGTGTAATGGCACGAGCTGCTGCAGCTCGACTGTGTTATATATGACAAGCACAGTGCAACGCACGAGTCTGCGTCGTCAAATTGGATTGGACCGCTTTCAGGGGGCGATTATAACGTATTTATTGACTTATTCTTGTGTGCCTCGATATGTGTCACGCGCGCACGTACTCATATTTACGTATATAGAAACTCGAGCGACTAAAGATGTCCTAATGTACTTTCTTACGAGCTGCGTGCACTGCTAGACCATACGTAGTTCACTAGCCGCGTTGACGGAATTTCTATGGCGTCGGGCAACGGCCTCGGGCTGCACTGCTGCAGTATATACAGCTGCGCCGCTGCACTTTGGCCCCGCGTCGTTGCTCCGTAATATTCGCGATATGATATTTTTCTCCAACTCGTTCGTCGTACTAGTTTTTAAGCTGAAAATGTCGCCCGAGAGATCATCTCTCGGTGCGCGCGGCTATAATTTCACGCTCGAAATCTTTGCCCGAAATCGCAAGCGCATGACAGCAAATTATAATGCCGAAAATTCCGCAGCCGGCACACCAGAAGTAGTATAAGCCTCGTGCAAAGCGACTGCGTAAACGCGCGCGCGAGCGGTGAAAGCAAAAAAAAAAAACACAAGCGCGTGCGCGAACAGCTTTAATTAGTTTCATCGCTTTATAACTGTAAACGCGAAATTCATAATGGTTGCTACGCAGCAGCAGCAGCAACAGCTTATAGCACTCGGATCGTGGCACAAAAAATTCTAACTAATAAAGATAACAATCGGGTCTCTGCGCGGAAATACTCTGCTCTCCGTGCGAATACAGACGTACGTTACAGTATAAACATTCCTAAAGTGCGTTCCGCAGGCTTGTAATACGGGCGCGTGTGCGCCAATTGCGCGAGTGTTTGCGCGCGGAAAAACTAAAAATCCGGGCTCG